ACTTAGAAGCAACCAGGCCAGCAGGGAGGAGGCAATTGGGGACAACCTGGCTGGCAGCAGGGGGCAATCAGGCTGGCATGCAGAGGCAGTGAGGGGCGATAGGCTGGTGGTGGTGGGAGCAGTTAGGGGCAACCAGGCAGGCAGGCAGGTGAGCGATTAGGAACCAGCAGTCTAGGATTGTGAGAGGGATGTCCAACTGCCGGTATAGGCCCAATCTCTGGGATTGGGCCTAAACCAGCAGTTGGACATCCCCCAAGGAGTCCCGGATTGGAGAGAGTGTAGGCTGGGCTGAGGGGATGCTCCCCCATGCACAAATTTTGTGCACTGGACCTCTAGTAACTAATAACTAATGGGGCCTGAAGTAAAGATATATGGAATGTAGGGGTGTTATTCAAAATGAAAAGTGTATAGACATAGAAAATCCCAGCAACTAGAACACATTCCAATCCCCTTACTTTGAATCTGCAAATGTTGTTTCCAGTTTATGACTTCTGGTGAGCCAAGGAATTCATGACAGTTCTTGGGGTCCTTGGAGTAGATTTGGTAAGTATTGGTGTAGTGATCAAGGTCATCTACCATCTCCTGTTTGGGTTGGGAAAAGTAGAATCAACAAAAATAATTGTAGTTTGTGATTGCCATACATGGTTGTCAGTGTTCCGTTATATTATGGTATTTTTAAGTACTAAAATATTAGGTTTCCTGTTGGTGTATTACCTTTATTGAAGAATGATTTATATTATTAGGTCAACTCAAGCACTTCCTTATTCAACTAACAATAAAAATACCCAGTTAAACTATTCCTAAATCAACTATTACTATAAAATTTCAAACAGAAATGATCCATTTAGAATTTAACATTTCTTTCAAAAAGCACAGGAGAGTCAGACTTCTAGTAAAATGTCTTTGTACAAGTTTATTCTCTGGTAGTAAATGTGCTAACTCCAATGGCTTCAGTAGAAAACAATAGCAAAACCCCTCCCAAAGCAAAGATACTTTGTGTTCCCTTCTTGTGATTTTTAAAACCAATCAGAATAGAAAAATAATCATATTGTATCATGCTATGCAAATTCTTAGGAACAGGCAGATGCAATGGTCAGATATTTCTAAACATCAATAATGATTTTCTTTCCTTTTCTTTTTCAGAAAGGCCAATTACTTCTTTTCTTTTTTAAAAAAATATATTTTATTGATTTTTTTACAGAGTGGAAGAGGGATAGAGAATTAGAAACATCAAAGAGAGAGAAACCTCAATCAGCTGCCTCCTGCACACCCCCTACTGGGGATGTGCCCACAACCAAGGTATATGCCCTTGTCCGGAATCAAACCTGGGACCCTTCAGTCTGCAGGCCGATGCTCTATCCACTGATCATTTGATTCAGTAAACTTTAAGGTCTCAAGTTTCCAGCAGCTCTAGAAAACCA